ACTGCCCGCTGCTGCAGGTGCCAGAGACATGGAGGCCCCAATGGCAGCCACTGAGTGTGCCCATCTCTCTGTCAGAGGCCTAGCTCCAAGGTTGGGTATGTCCTCTCTACCCTCTAGAGCCCTTGCTGTGGCCACTCCATGCCCCACGTTCCTCTCTGTGCTGGGATCCCGGGGGGTTCTTAGGACAATGCAGTGCCCCAGGAAGCAGCTAGACATTCTTAACAGCTGGTGTCCTGCCTGCTCCCACATGAGAATGCTCTGCAGTGGCACAAACAGCTGCTTTTGGTGGAGAGGAGTTATCATCCTTGGATTCAGTTGCAGTATATTTTAAGCAAAATTGAGAATTGGTGCTTATTAGGCTCAGGGTGTTCATTGCTTTCTGTACATTCAGATGCGTTGGCCTGGCTCCTAGTTCAACGGGCTGTCACAGAGCTGCGTGCAGCGTGCCCAGGCTGGTGGGTACAGGAGGCAAGTGGTTGCTCCTTGCGAGCCATGAGTGGTGTGGGCTTGTGGGAGGGTGCCCAGGTGGCAGCCGGCTCCAGGGGTGACCACCTCATGCCTTGCAGAGCTTGGTAACTGTGCTGCCCAAGGCAGCCCTCAGGCATCTCCACATCATCAGGCCCACAGGGGATGGGGCACTTGCTGAATACCCCGAGTTTAGTCACGGACAATCCTGGTGCTCAGCCCCGCCTCTCGGGGAGAGTCTGCATTGCCAGGGGACTGTGCGTCTTCGGTGGCTGCTCAGCTCATCCTGCCTCTCCATGGTCTGTGCACTGTTATACCCCAGGCTCCATGGCCTGTCCCTCGAGCTGCCAGCACCTCATGGACACCTGCCTGGCCATGTAGTTCTGACACTGATTCTCTGAGGGGGGTCATCAGCATCATGGGATGGCAGAGTGATGTGATGAGATGGGATGACAGGGTGACTGATGGGTTGATATGAGGTGGCAGAGTGGGGGCTTGGGGGTGTAATCACTTTCATCAATGTGGGGAGAGGGTGCTCCAGCCGCCAGACTTCAGGAAAGGCACTCTATTGCATCCCTCACCAACTCCCTCCCGTGGGGGCTTGGCCACTAGGATGGCCGCTCCCTGTTCCATCCTGTCCTGCAAGGTCCAAAGCCATATCCTGCAGCCCTGTGCAGGCTACCTCCTCACCCAGTGGGTGTAGAACAGAAGTGGGGCCCCTGCCAGGGACTGAGCAGTGTTGGAACAGTGACCGGCTGAGAAGTTGGGCAGATTGTCCTTATTATACAGTTTATTGGGTATAAAATTAACATTGGAAAACACAGAGACAGCTTTTTATGTGTGTGTGTGATCTGAGTGAACGTTGACAGAGCTAATTCATTTTCCATTCAACAGTTCATACACATTTTGTTTCATGGCACTGATTGCAACCCACACAGTGTCACAGCTCTCTTCCTACTTCCTCCCTGTGGTTAACCTTTTCCCTGTGTCCTTCCGGGTTCATTCCTGCCCTCTGAGCTATCTCCCTGTGCCAATGCTGCCCTATGATATCAAATGGTTGATCATTCTAAGGCGTGGACATACTTGGTATAAATGTTCACCTTACATGCCTGTGTGTTCTTTGACTGGAAGCCACAGGGGAGTGAATTCAATTCCAGGCCTGAATGTTGACCAGGAGCCATAGTCTCAGGGGTTTCACCAGGCTCTGTTGGACCAGTAAGCCTGGTCTTTTTTTATGATTTTGAGTTTTGTTCTTCATTTTTTTCCACACTTTATCCAGTATCTACTTTGATCCCTTTCTAAGTGGTTGACAGTAATAGACAGGCACCATCATGTTCTTCTGGTCTCAGGGTCATGTAGATTGAGGTTCACATGGTCTACTAGTGTCTTGGACTAATTGTTCCCATGTGTGTTTGGTTTTCTTCATTCTTCTTTGCTCTGTATGAGAAGAGACCAAGTGTTGCATCTTAGATGGACGCTTGCAAGCTTTTAAGACCCAGGTTAGTACTCACCAAAGTAGGATGTAGAACAGTGTTTTTGGTATGTTGTGCCAATTGAGTTTGATGTCCCCCATGACCATGGTCCTGAGCCTATGGGCCCAGTGACCTATTCCCTCAGGGTGTTGGCTGTGACTAAGAAGTTGTCATTGTTTTGCCCCGTTCGCTCAATAGAGATGCACATTCTTAGAGCTTGTGGAGGCTTTTTTTTTTTTTTTTTTAAGATAAGCTTGATTTATAAAACACTTAGGTTTACAGAAAAGCTATAAAGCTAGTTATGAGGGCTCTGTAACCAGCGCTCACCCACCCCCTTAGTGAACGCCGCGGGAGGGTGGTGGACACCGCGGGAGGATGGTGCACATGTCACAGCAAATGAGCACATCGAAGCAGCAAAAGCAACTGTAGCTGGATGTGTCTGGGCTATTTTGATGTCCCCTAGACCCCTTTTCTGTCCCTGGATTCCATCCAGACACTGTGTCCCATGTCTGCTTGGGTTCCTCCTGGCTGTGACAGTTGTCACACTTCCCTTGTCTGGGATGTGGCAAGGTGATGTGACAGGGGTCTCTTTGACCTTAGCAGCTTTTTATTATGCTGTAATTCATATGACAAGGTGTTCACCCTGTGAAAGTGTGCAACTCCATATGACTGTGTTGATTCTGACTCAAAGCGCCCCCGTGGGGTAGAGTAGAACTGCCCCGTCGTGTGTCCTAGGCTGTCCTCTCAGTGGGAGCAGGTCATCAGGTCTTTCTCCTGAAGAGCCACTGGGGGTTCAAGCCACAGACCTCTTGGTTGGCCCCCTGATCATGGAAGCACTGAGCCACCAGGGCTCCTTCATGCAGCCCTTACTTACCACTGTCTAGCCTAGAACATCCTCATCACCCCAGAAAGAACCTGCATCTCCCAGGAGCCGCTCCCCACCCCCTCCCACCACTCCTGGGAACCACTCATTGTCCGGCCGGTTTGGGGATCTGCACCCTGGATATTGAGACCTGCTGGTCAGGAATTTCTAGGACACCGAGATGGGCCTTGTCTGGTGCACTTTCCATGTTTAGACTAGAGTGGTGGGTTCTCAGGACCATGGGGGTCATGCTGTGTCATCCCTGACTTACCACTGGTGCTGTTGGCCCTGGTCACCAGGTTCCTGCTGCAGCTTCTTCCCTCTCCCTCCCCTCACTGTGCCCTGAAAGGCTGTCACCCCACCCAGCCCACCCCTCAGGGCTGAGAGTGACATTCCCCTCCTCGTGAGCATGGCCACAAACGTTACCTGGGCTCTCCTGCCTGGAGATCTGTCTCCTTGTATGTGTATTTAGTCAGTCATTTCTGTCGGTATGTTCCCTCCTTCACTTGGCCCCATTTTTTGGCCAACAGCAGCCCTGCTTCTGGGCTCCAAGGGACATAAAGTGACCACTGTGCCCCCTGGGTGAACTCAGCTTCAGTAAGGAACGTGAGGCCTGGGAGCTTGTGGTAACAGTAGCAGGTGGCAGTACTGTGAGAAGCGGGATTCGTGTAGCCTGAGAGCATCACATCATGAGCTGTGTGTTGGTGACAAAAATAAGAAAGTAGTGAGGTCACTGTGGGGTGGGTAACAGGACAGACCCGTACCCCACCCGTGGCTGAGCGCCCCGTGTCACCCTGCCTGCCCTAGCCCAGAGTGCACAGCTTCCTGATGTCACACCCTGTGGTGTGTGGGGTCTGGGTAAGGGCTATTTTCATAACTTTTACACATCTGAAATTGTTTCAAACAAAATTTTAAATTTATAAATAAAAAGGCACCATGACCTGAGTGTCAAAGAGGCACAATTCAGAAAGACAGGGCTGGCTGTGGCACCCTTGGCTCACACGCTGTGCAGACCCTTCCCTGTGAGGAGTCCTCGGGCCTAGCAAGCTGATCTGATCCCCCACGTGGTGAGCGGCTCCAGTGGATCTCCTGGAACCGTGGGGTGGGCGTGTCCCTGAGGCCACAGCATGGACAGGTGTCAGCAGGGGCCCTCCCTGCAGGACATACCTTCAGGAGGCTGGGACTTCTGACTGGGCCGGGCAAATTGGGAAAGAGCAGCCAGGTGCCTGTGCAGCCCATCTGTGCCGTTGTACTGTGGGCACACACGCAGACATCCGCACCAGCCTCCTGAGCTGTCTCCGCCTCTGTCTCACCCCACGCAGCAGCCTGTAGGAGGGTCTGCACATGGCATACCCCTGGCTCGCAGGCAGGAGCAGCTGCAGGCAGAGCAGGGGCTGACAGGTGAGTTTGGACTAAGGAAAGGAATTGATGGAGGCCAAGGTGGTCACCCAGGAGTTAGGTTCTCCTGTCAGCTGATGCCTCCTTCAGTGATCAGTGATGACCTGGGGACGGGGTTGGAGGCTCCCTCTGCTCCTTTACTTCATACCCTGTCATGCTGACAAACATCATGGACATGTTGCCCATGGCCGCTGGTCCTCTGTCCTTCCCTGTCATGCAGCAGCAGCAGCAGCTACGAGCACCTCACTGCCACCCTTGCTTAGGATGCAGACTGAGGAGGACACTGCCCTAACCCTGCCATCGAAGCCTTTTCCTTGGAGTCTCTGGGAACCCATACCAACCCCTATGGGCTTGTGGAAGCTTCCACCAGCCCACAAGGGGGCCCAGAGCCTTTAGGGGCCGCTGCTGCTGGGTGGGCGCACTTCTGCACAGGGCAGGGGGGGTAGGAACACATGAAGGGTGGGGGCGGTAGTGTGTCCTGGGGCAGCACCTGGACCACCAGTTCAGTGCTGCCATGAGGGCCGGGCCTGGACGGAGCAGGGCAGAGAAGCACTGGGCAGTGGAGGGCCGCAGTCTCCCCTGAGGCCAGAGGAGGAAGGCCCAGGGGCCTCGACAAGGACCACTGCCCCCTCCAGGGCTCAGACCACTTAGGACCCAGGAATGAAGTCTAGTTTGGGCTGTTTTCTTGTTTGAAGTGACACGGCTCTTGTTCTTGAAGGTGGTGAGTGGGGGGCAGGGTCTTCAAGTGGGGCAAGGGCCTGCCTGCGGGTGCCCTCTGCTAACCCTGTCTCTGCTCCTCCCAGGCTGGAATGGGTGGAAATCATCGAGCCGCGAACCAGGGAGCGCATGTATGCCAACCTGGTCACGGGCGAGTGCGTGTGGGACCCGCCCGCTGGCGTCCGCATCAAGCGCACCAGTGAGAACCAGTGGTGGGAGCTCTTCGACCCCAACACATCACGCTTCTACTACTACAACGCCACTACCCAGCGCACCGTGTGGCACCGGCCGCAGAACTGTGACATCATCCCACTGGCCAAGCTGCAGACCCTGAAACAGAACACCGAGTCCCCCCGTGCCTCTGCTGAGAACAGCCCCGGCAGGGGCATTGCCATCAATCGTGAGGGCAGCCCCAGCGCCTCCCTGGAGCCAGAGGGCACCAGTGAGAAAGCACAGGAGCCACCGGGGCGGGTGGGCCAGCCAGCACCCCTCACGACTGCCAAGGAGGAGCATGGTGGCAGGTGAGGGGCAAGCTGGGGTGTGAGGTTGGATGAGCGTGTGGCTGTGCCCGTGCCAGCATCACTCCAGCGACTGTATGCTGGCTGTCATGGGCAGAGGTGAGAGAACTGTCCCTGGATCACGCCTACCTTCCTTGTCTGAGCAGGTCTGCTAGGTAGTGATGGGGGCACTGAAACCAGCCTGGGCCAGAGCCCTTTGCCTAGTGTGCTGTCTCTCTTCTCTGGAATGTTGTTGTGACAGCATTAGTCATGCTGGATGCTCAGACTTGGAGGAGGAGCACCAAAGAGGGTCAGGCATGTCGGGGACCTCTCTCTGCTCCCTCCTCAAGATGTGGCTGTCCTGAGTAGTTTCTCATCCCTTGTTGGGTACCTGCTGTGTACGTGCACAGCTCCGAGCCACAGGCAGCCAGGCCTAGCCCCAGAAGCCCAGCTGGGGGAGGACAGAGAAGAAGGAAATGAGACTCAGGGCGGTGCACCCCAGAGGGTGGGGGGGGGGGAAGCCAGCACCTCCTGGGGATGAAAGGCATGTGGGAGTGGATTGACTTGATTGGATTGGAGCAGAGAGTCTGAGTCAGAGATGGGGGCCTGTGACCTGGACGCACAGCAGGCACCGGGCGCAGGTTCAGGATCCACAACCACAGGAACGGGTATGCTCCTCCCATGCAGGATAGGCCTCCCACTCCCCACCCAGGATGTGGCCTCCAAGTGTTGGCAATACTGATGCGAGGTGTGGGCAGCCATTTGGTGCCACCACAGTGGTGGTGGGGCTGAGGAGACCTCAGGCAGGAAGGGCCAAGCACAGCATAGGGGCCAGGCTGTGTGGCCAACAAGGACAGCAGGGCGCCTGGATGTGGTGGGAAACCCAGGCAGCACGTGGCAGCAGCAGTACAGTTAGAAGCCTCTACCAGGAGGCAAGCGGGCACAGGACGATTCTAGGTGTTCAGTGACCCTGTGAAGGGTTAAGACGTGGGCCTCAAAACAAGCATGTGAATGTATGCAACCATGCTGGAGACCTGCCCGTGACCCCTAATGCCCTCAGCCCAGGTACAGGCTCTTGAGGGCCAAGGGACGGGTGGCTGAGCTATGTGTTGGAAGGACAGCCTGAACACACTGGGAACGTGGGGCCTTGAGCCCATGGACCGTGCACCAACATATCCAGATGCACTATGGACTATGCAGCAACACATCCAGACACACCATGGCTATGCACCAACACATCCAGACTCACCGTGGACGACTGTGCACCAACACATCCAGACGTACCACGGCTGTGCACCAACACGTCCAGACACACCATGCACAACTGTGCAACAACATATCCAGCTACACCATGGCCAAGGGCCCTGCTGCTCATGGACTGTTGGCTCTCGAACATCCTCCCCTTGGAGGCCTGCTCTCAACCCTCCTCTGTCCTGCTCTGATCTCTTGACCCTCCCGTGTCCTGCTCTGACCTCTCAACCCTCCCATGTCCTGTTCTAACCTCTCGACCCTCCCCTGTCCTGCTCTGATCTCTTGACCCTCCTGTGTCCTGCTCTGATTCTCACAAGGTATACGTTGGGGCCCTGTGCATCCACCTGTCTCTGGCATGGTGAGTGCCTAAGGGGTCATGCCTGGTACCCCTCTGTTCCCTGGCCAGTGAGCAGGAGGTGTTTCCAGGTACCATGGCTGGCTATGCTGCCCACACCTGCAGTGTTGTGGAGTGGGTTGCAGGGGGTATCTGAGAAATGAAGAGATGGGGCAGGGGCAGGGAGTGTAGGACCTGGGCAAGCCCATGTGCCAGAAAGTCCTAAAATGCCCTCCGGGGCCTCTCACAAAGACCAGGATCATCGACAGCCAGATATGTGAGGTGAAACTAAGCGGGGCCATTTCTGGGGCCCCTCACACCTGGCTGACTCTCTGGGCCTCCGTGTTTAAAAATGGGACTCCAGCACTGGTTAGGCAGGCCTCACGTGGCACCACTTCACCCAAGAAAGAGTTCATAAAAGTAAACGCAAGCTCTAAAAGAACACAGCAGACTGGGCAGAAGCACATGCAAGGTGCCCGGGAGAAAGTCTCCCTTGTGTGAGAGGAGACGTGCCTATGAGGTGTGCACACTGCCCAGAGGACGTGGCCAAGGGCAGCAGGACCATCAGTCCAACATCAGCTCTTGAGACATCTCACGTCTGCAAACGTGAGCAGAAGTGCCACCATACTGATGGAGATGGTACTGAAGCTGTTTGTAAGGCACCTGGACAGCAGGTGCTGCGGCCAGCAAGCAAGGAAAATCCATGCTCCTGAGACAAACCTAGTAAGAACTGCAGCAGGCTTGCTTTTTCTTTTTTAAAAATAAAAATTGACAACTGATTGTAAAATGTAAGTAGAAATGCAAAGGATCTAGAATAGCCAGCAGTTCTGATAAAGCAGAATAATTGCTCTGCCATGAGATCAGAAGAACTAGATAGTGCCCAGCTACCATTACTTCTCCAGAATCTTCAATCAAAAGGGGAGAAATGCAGAACAGAATTTAAAATTCTCATGGAATCCAGAGTTCTTGGAATAACTGAGACTGAATGAACCCCAACACTGTTGCCCTGAGATAATGTGTAAACCTTTAACAAAAAATATCACCTGAAGTCTTGTTTTAAACCAAACTATGATTTAGGTTAATTGATTTAAAAAAAAAAAAATGTCTGCCTTGAGCATTGCTCTTCCAAGAACTATCTATAAGAGACCAAATTGACAACACTTGAAAGCTCTTACAAAAAACTTAGGGGGCAGTGAGTTTATGTTAATAGGGGAGAAGCAGTTTGGAGAAGGAGGGTGAGAATGGTTCCACCAACTGCAGAATGTGATCACTGTCACTGAATTGTACATGTAGGGGCTGCTTAGATGTATATTCTGTGTAGATTCTCAACAACTAAAATCTTAAAAATCAGTTAGTGAGAAGAATAGACAGGACCAGAATGGCTGTCACTGGAGAAAAGCACGTGGCCCAAAGTGGACATATGGACGTGGCCAGTGAGCTGGGCAGATGCTGAGGCAGGCAGGAAAAGAGTCTTCTTAGCAGATCGTTCTGAAACAAACGAATGTTCTCCTGGATGAAAATGAACTCCCACCCCTACCTTAGTGCATACATGAAAACCAATTCAAATTGAATCGTAGATCCAATTATCTGCAAGAACCTTAGGGTTGGCTGGCAGTGGCTTAGCACACAAAAGCACTAATCAAAACACAAAAAGTTAATAAACTAGCCTTTGTCAAGATCCTAATCTGTGCTCTTCAAAAAATACTGAAAGTAAAACAGAAGACAAATAGGTGGGGAGAAAATACTCTCAAAACACATCTGACAAAGGCTTTAAATCCAGAGTATATAAACAGCTGTCACAACTCGGTAATAAGATGGACTGTCCAGTGTTAAGTGGACAAAAGGCATGTGCCCTGCAGCGGGCAAGGAGGCTGCCCATGCTGTCATCTTCAGAGGCACCTAAAGCCCATGATGGCACTGCCGCACAGCCCAACGAGGCTCATCTTAGGACTGTAGCAGAGTGGCAAGGGCCCATGGTGGCTGCAGTTTCCCATATGTTCTGGAAGGAATGGCCCTTCCAGGGGTTCGCAGTCAAATGTGGACTGGGCAAGCCCTGGAAACTGCAGTGCATCTTCCCTGGACCTCCGACCATGGTACAGACCCACTACTGGACTCCACCTATGTCTCTGTCAACTCAGCTGTTCTCCTCAGTGCCTGTGGATGCTTCGTCAGGCTGCTCAGGAGCAGACACAGAAAACAGTCATCTCAGTGATGCAGACACTCACCTCTGGGTATATACCTAAAATTGGAACTGCTGGGTCATACAGTAGTTTATAGCATAGTGAATGTGCAAAAACCTGGAGTTAGAAAACTGAAAGGGAAGAACATGCTCAGCATTTCTCAGGCTGAAAGAACTGAAGGAAAACTCAAGCCTCAAGTTGTAATATTGCAGGATTCCATGGGCACAATATCAAATGATACAGAAAGCATCAGAAGAAGGTAGAAGGAATATATAGTCACTGTACCAAAAACAATTGGTTGATGTTCAGCCATTTCCAGAGGTAGCTTATGACCAAAAACCAGTGGTATTGAAGGAAGAAGTCCTAGCTTCACTGAAGGCACTGGTGACAAACAAGGTTCTAGAAATTGACGGAATACCCATTGAAATGTTTCAACAAATGGATGCTGTGCTGGAGGCACTCACTCGTCTATGCCAAGAAATTTGAAAGACAGCTACCTGGCCAACTGACTGGAAGAGATCCATATTTATACCCATTCCAAAGAAAGGTGATCAGCAGAATGTAGAAATTCTCAAACAGTATCATTAATATCACACACAAGTAGAATTTTGCTGAAAATAATTAAAAATTCAGTACATCAAAAGGGAACTGCCAGAAATTCAAGCTGGATTCAGAAGAGGATATGGAACGAAGGCTATCATTGCTGATGTCAGATGGATTTTGGCTGAAATCAAAGAAAACCACAAAGATGTTTACTTGTCTTTTATTGACTATGCAAAAACATTCAGCTGTGTGGATCATAACAAATTATGGATAACATTGAGAAGAATGGAAATTCCAGGACACTTAATTGTGATCATGAAAGTGCACATAGACCAGGAGCCTGTCATTCAGACAGAACAAAGGGATACTGTATGGTTTAAAATCAAGAAGGGAGTGCATCAGGGTTGTGTCCTTTCACCATACTTACTCAATCTGGATGGAGCGAGGAAGCAGAGGCAGGGATCCAGGTAAGACCAGGGACCCAGGCCACATCCCTCCCGAGCGACAGGAAAGCAGAGTAAAAAGCCGGGGGCAGGGGGACCAGGACAGAGCGAGGAAGCAGAGGCAGGGATCCAGGTAAGGCCGGGGTCCCAGGCCATGGCCCTCCCAAGCAGCAGGAAAGAGGCAGGGATCTGTGTGTGGGGAGGGTGGAGAGGTTTTGAGGACCTGAGGGAGACAAACCTGTCTGTCAGTTGTCCTACTGTGGTGGCATGTTG